ACCCTGGGTACTGCCCCCATACAGTAACAGTCTATAATAGGGCTACCATTAAGGGCGTAAAAGATCCACAATGGGTTTAGGGTTTAGGGTTTAGGGTTTAGGGTTTAGGGCTACTATTAAGGGGGTAATATATCCATAATATAAATATTATCCGACTGTTACTGAGTAGGGGCAGTACGTACCCAACTTTTACCATCTAGGGTCCACAATCGGTTCCGAAGTAAGGGGGGAATTATCGACTCTCACTCTCGCACGCAGCAGGCAGGGAGGATATTTAGGGTCTTTGATAAGGTCCCGATTATCCACAGGGCCCTTTCCTGCCACTTAGGGTCGATCATGGGTCACGCATCGCTGGAGCTCTCAACCGATGTTTTCACCGCCAGCTGGAACTCGCGAAGAGGCCAACACTTCCCACGAGGGAGCTGCAACTCTTTGGCCAAGTCGCAAAATCGGCGATGTTGGTGTGAAGCGTCATCTGGTCAATGGCCTTTGGCCGGCTGGCGAGAAGTAGGCTGAATGGACATCCTAATGTGATGTGTCCTGTGTGACATGAAGACTACATGCACGCGCCTTCGATCGCAAGAAACTGGCCTAGCGAAGTCATGCTCGAAACACGGCGGAATTTTGAAGCTCTCGGCAACATCGAATATACAATATAATCAGAATATAATACATGACATGAGAATATGTAATCACGTGTTTGAGCGTTGTGTCAGATTTTTGTTGATGCTGCTGAGAATGGAATGGGGCGTAGGGATGTTCGGACCACTTGCTTAAGGTAGCTTTATACATGTATAACAAGGTTGAAGGTCTTGTGTTCAAGCCTTCGGTTTGCAGCGAAACGAACGGCCTATGGGGAACTGTGAAAAGCACTTTAACATCTTCCGAGCTGCTGCTTCATCGCCTTCCTGAGGAAATGCAAGGCATCATGTGTGGGATCAGGAGCAGTCGCCAGTGTCTGAGCCTGTGATCTAGCACGTCTGTGGATTTGGTTGCGAGGGCCAGTGGCGATCGCTTGGCGCACAAGACTGCCGCGGCCGCTCTACAGTCGAAGGTCCCGCACGGCAGCCGAAGCTGTAGTCAACCCTAAACCCTAAACCCTTAAACCCTGAACCCTAAACCCCTAAACCCTAAACCCTACGGCCGACTGCGTGCAAGCATGCGCACCAAGAGATCCTCCTCCTGCGGCTGCGCAGATCCCCACCCGGCCTGCATTTCTTCAGACATTTGCAACATGCCTGCTTCGGAGAGGTGGTTTAGGGTTTTGGGTTTCGACTCTCACATTCGCACAAGGCCGGGTTTTGAGTTTAGGGTTTAGAGTTTAGGGTTTAGGCTATGGCTTTCTGGCCAGCATCTCCAACAAGCCTTCACTGAAAACATGAACATGAAGAACGACCAAGCTTCGAATGCTGGGAATTGTGGCCGGCAGAACCTTGGGTGAGAATCTGGCTTTTGAGCTTTGAGACACTACTGTTTGCCTCATCAGTGCCATCTTGGAGCTTCGCGAACAGCCAGGAACCCTCATGGGATTTCGGATCCCTTTGTGGCAGCCCTGCAGCCCTAAAGGCCCTAAAGCCTTGAAGGGGCCAAGAAACCTTCCGATTTACGCTCCGTAATCCCCGCCCACACCTTGCCAGCTCAGTAGCCAGTAGTCGTGTCCACAGTCCCTCTTGAAGAACTCTAGATTCCAGAACCGCGCATACCAATCGCCTGAGATGCTGCTGGCACGGTCGGTTCCCACCAAAAGTCATCGGCTTCAACTGCTTAGGGTTTCGGGTTTCAGGTTTTCTTTCTCGGGTTGGGGTTTACGGGTAAAGGCTTGAGCTAAGGTTTCAGGATGTCCCTTTTCTGTCACGCACTCTACTGGTTCATAAAGCCACCACAAAACCCGGAAAGTGTAGCACCCCCCCCCCCCTTCAAGCACCCTCATGAACTCCCATAGTGATATCCTACGCCGGAAGTCACTAAACCCCAATAACACCCGAAAACCCCCCCTAAACCCTAAACCCTAAACACCAGAATCAGCCCAGAATCAAGCTCCAAAGCTCAGCCAAGGAGCGCTGCTTCTCCAGAAGCACCGGGGCCTCCAGAGCGATGCCCTCGAGCCCCCGCAGGCGCTGCACCTCCTTGCCTTAAAGGATCGGCTCCCAATATAGGGGCTTTCTCAACTAGAATATGGTGGTGGTACTGCAACTAGGGTAACTCTAACCCTAAGGAATAGTAGTAGTAGTAGTAGTAGTAGTAGTAGTAGTGCTGATTACAGCTTCTAAATTGCACCCTGAACCCGTCCAGAACCTCTGTAAGTCCCTTGAGGTGCTTTTGAAGGGTTTAGGACATCGGACTCCTTGTCTCAGCGGACCGGTTGAACGGACGTTTAAGGGTTCAGGGTCGCCGTTTGTTTTGTGTAGAGGCTTGAAGATCGCCGAATGCCTTTTATGCGGAAAGGCCAGGCTCTCGGGAGGGGTTTCATCATCAAGGTTGGGTTTAGGGTTTAGGGTTTAGGGTTGAGGGTTTAGGGGGATCAAGTTTGTAAGGGTTGCTTGAAGGCTGCTCTTGCAGGGTTTCGGGTTGAAGTGCCTTGTCAAGTCGTGGGCCGTTGAGGGCTTGCCTCTCAGGCTTTAAGTTTGAAAGCCTTCGAAGTTTGACAGGGCTGGATGCTAGAGCTGTAGGGCTCGTTTACGGCCTCAAGGCCCTTGTGCAGACCTACGGTCGATATGTTGGGTAGGCAAGAAGCTCTTTGAGGGTTACTTGGAGGTTCATGGGTAGTTATAAGTATGGTAAGTTATAAGTCCCCTAATATGGGTTATAAGTATAGTTGCCCTACTTATAACCCCACTTATAACTACCCCTGAACCTCCAAGTACGGCTGGCGTCTTCTCTCACTTCGCTGTGTTCTGAAGCACATGACCAGTGAAGCGAAGTAGTTGTGACACCGAGGCGGCCATAGATGGCTGAACTTACTTCCGCAGTGTCCAGAGCTCAAACTTTCAACATCAGACCCGCGTTCTAGAAGCCCTAAACCCTAAACCTCTCAACTCAGACGATTGAAGGTCTGATATCGGAGAACTGAAGGGGATCTTCTGCAGATGCCGCTTCTGGCGCAGCACCGGTTCGGACACCGGGGTTCATTTAGGATTACCTTTCTAAGGGGATAGAGGACAGGGTTACTTGAAGGGATACAAGACGAGTTGTATAGGGGTTGCTATGTGGTTTGGGGGCTCATGTGCGTGTTCCCTAGCTTTTTGGGGCCACATCCAGCTGGAGGTTGCGGGAAATATAGATACCGAAAACTCTTTTGGACCATGGGTTAAGGGTTGAGGGTGCTAAACGCTAAACCTAACAATCGAAACCCCAAAACCGCTTATCTTTGTCCCTTGGTCGGTTGCCAGATTCCGGGACACAGCCGAAGCACACTCGGCGACGCTGGCGAGTCGAACGTTCCTCCAAAATCTGCTGGACCATATGCCTACATGTACGACAGCATGATAGAGAGAGACTAGTATAATATAAGGATGCCTCTTAAGGCGCCCTTTGAAAGTCTGTTTACGCGTAAACCCTAAACCCTAAACCCAAAGCCCTTAAGTGTGGGGGAGCTTGGCGGTTGCGGGATAGAGTTTAGGTTTGGGCTTGGCGGTACTTGGGGGCTTCAGAGATTCTTTCGGAGTGTAATAGGGGCCCTGATGGGTTCCTTTGAAAGCCCGGCGATGGGGGGGTGTAAGGGTTTAGGGTTTAGGGTTTTTTTTGCCTCCTACATGGCTGAGCGAGTCGCGAAGTAGGGTCTTAGGAGCTGACGAGTGAATTCACTCAAGACAGGCACAACTGTGATGCCCACATGCAATCCCATCGTATTGACAGGAAGGTTTCCTCAAAAGCAAGTCTGAGCACAGCGTTTGCAGCAAAATGCCGCCAAGCAAAACCAGGCTCCGTATCAGCCGAGTCTCCACCGTAAGTAAATAATTCAACTGCAAAGTCATGCATCAAGGGCAGTCAATTACAAATTACAAATTCCCAATTATGAATTAAAATCAGAATGTACTGCACATCGTCAGGCTTCTGAATTCAGACTGTCATCACTCACTTTGTTTCAGTTCGGGACGAGGACAAGGACACGGTAGGATACCAGAGCACCACAAGTACTCTGGTATTCTACTCACTTGGTGGTCCAACGGTCATATGCACTTCGTACGTACATCCGCATCACGTCTCTCAAGATTGCTCTGCAGAAAATGCGCTCAGTAACGTCCAGCAGCTTTCATTGCAGTAAGCAAAACAGAGACACTTCAGTGTCACCAGCGCACCAACGTAATCCAGGTAGGATACCAAGGTGCGGAGCGCACGTCTCTCAAGATTGCTCTGCAGAAAAAGCGCGCAGTAACGTCAAGCTGCTTTCATTGCAATAAGCAAAAACAGAGACACTTCAGTGTCACCAGCGCACCAACGTAATCCAGGTAGGATACCAAGGTGCGGAGCGCACTCTGGTATTCCACATAACTGAAATGCTTATCCCAACTCATCGGCATGCTCTTTTGCAAGGCTGCAAACCAAAGCAAACATCTGGAGTGAGCAGCGGCCCTACCTCAGAAACGGCCCACACAAGAGCATAAGTCCGTGTCCCAGGATGTAGCGGTCGCAGATTCAGCGCGCCTGCCACAGGCCAGAAAGATCAAGCCAGAAGGGCGGTGCGCTCCAACACAGCGCTTTTTTTTTTTTTTCTTTTTTTTTCTCTCTTCCACTACCCAAATCTGCATGCGCCAAGCTCGTCCAGCACAATAGTGCATGTCGGGGTCAAGGTTCAGGTCCACAGTCTCCAAAGGTGAAGTCCAGCAGGGCTTTCAGTTCGCTTGCAATCCGAACCAGCATGGTTTCGCACAGACATTACGTGTGTTGTCTTTTCGTCCAGAGAAGCCAAGTGAAGCAGAGCGAAGCGAAGTACACATATCAGTCAGAACGGTCAGACAGAGCCATGGCTGGAAAGCTCAGCAGGTTAGGGTAGCCCTGAAATAACTAGTACTGCGATCCTGAGACCCAAATTAAACCCATGGAGCACTATAGATGAGGATAAGTATAGTGGGAACTGGGACACACCTAAGTACAGCAGGGATAGATAATAGACCCAATAAGTAGTGAAAGTCAAGACGTGTCCTCCTCACCTGACAGTGGTGGTCGCAGTCGTGAGAACATCAAGCCATCATCTTCATCCATCCATCCACCCTGCAAATTCATTTGCATTCCTTCATCAAACTGCAAATTCATGCTGCACACGAATTATTGTGGCTGACTCGGCTACTGCAGGCATGTATTTGGTCTGGGTTCAGACACCAGCGCTCCAAAACTGAAAACGAAAGAACAGTCAATGAGTTGCATCAGTCTTGTTCTGCCTGCGTTATCAGCCATTATCGTGAAACGGGGTCACCTCACAGCTGCAAGTTTGGAGAGCACGGACCAGGTAACAAGGGGGGGTGAGTAGCGGGCATGTGATTTGCAGAAGTGGAGGTTACCCTGCAGTCTTCAGTCAACCTGATGCACAATCACACTTCCCTGAAGTTGTAGTCCTCCCCCAGATTGAGGGTGCTCCAAGACATGAAGCGACTCACAAAGTTGAGTTTGCCGAGGCTTCTTCTTAACGGGCGAGTCAGTCAGGGGCTCGAATGAACAATCAGACTCATCAGGAATGGGGAACCCTAAATCACACAGCTCACTTTTCAAGTGGGCGCTCAAGGAATGCGTTTGGGCTACGGACCATGCAAGCAAAACTACCCTGTCACCTCCTTCCCATGGAATCGTAGAGTGCAATCGCTCTCGGCTATTGAAGACAAAAGGCGCAACAGAAGTGTCATGAACGAAACCCTTAATCTTAGATCCCAAATGCTCAATGGTCGTGTCACCACGTGGGTCTTCTACCCAAATTCCACCCCCTCTCACCTTGGACAGAAGTTGGAAACAAGTGCCATAGGGGGCATTTTTACAATCACGGTGGGGTCCCAAGCTCAATCCTTCACGAACTGCACACGTGGTAAACTTGAAGTACGGGACATGGTGCTTCAGATACAGGAGGATTGACCGAAGGAACTGGGGGTGCGAGAGGGTTCCTTGTGCAGCTACCGTGGATGACCTGGGGCTTGC